AAAAAAAAAAAAAAAAAAAAGAATGAATCCTAGGGCAGCACCTGCAGCTCAAAAGAGTAGGGCACCTGCCCTGATATGCCAGAGGTGGCAGGTGGCAGGTGACGAGTCCCGGCCAAAAACTGCAACAACAACAACAACAACAACAAGATAATGAATCCTAGCACTTCCTGAATGCTAGGAATGAATGATAAAAGAGTTCCATTTCTTTAGAAATGTATTACAGTCAAAATATTTTTAATCTAGCATTTTAAAACCAGATAATTACTTTTAAATTAACACTAAATAAGCACAAGGAAAAAAACCAAATATTAAAAAATGTCAGCTGAAAACTATTCCAAGAAATTCACTTAAAAGCTAGAAATGGGGCTCAGCACCTGTGGCTCAAGTGGCTAAGGCGCCAGCCACATACACCTGAGCTGGAGGGTTCAAATCCAGCCGGGGCCTGCCAAACAACAATGACATCTGCAACCAAAAAAAATAGCCAGGCGTTGTGGCAAGTGCCTGTAGTCCCAGCTATTTGGGAGGCTGAGGCAAGAGAATTACTTAAGCCCAGTAGTTGGAGGTTACTATGAGCTATGATGCCAGTGCACTCTACCCAGGGCAACAGCTTGAGGCCCTGTTTCAAACAAACAAACAAACAAACGAACAAAAAAGCTAGAGGTGGGAACCATAAATGTTAAAATTGAAAAAGTAGGTGGTGCCTATAGCTCAGTGGGTAGAGCACCTGCCACATACACCAAGGCTGGTGGGTTCAAACATGGCCCACGCCAGCTAAAACAACGACAACTGCAACAAAAAAAATAGCCAGGCATTGTGGTGGGCACTTGTAGTCCCAGCTACTTGGGAGGCTGAGGCAAAAAATCACTTAAGCCCAAGAGTTTGAGGTTAATGTGAGCTGTGATGCCACAGGACTCTATCCAGGGCAATAGCTTGAGACCTTGTCTCAAGAAAAGAAAAAAAAAAATGAAAAAAATAGGACTTTTGTGATGCAAGATAAACATACTCAAATTTCTACACTTTTACTCCTATAATAGAAAATTCAGACTTATTATGGTACAATATAAAATTGAAATACTAAGTACCCATATACCAAAATATTTAGTAATAAGTAAAGCCTTTAAGTTAGCATTCAAGAACTAATAAAATTGACTTCCCTCTACACAAGCAAACAGATAATAAAAACTAAAAAGTCTTGGCTCAGCGCCTGTAGCTCAGTGGCTAGGGCGCCAGCCACATAAACAGAGCTGGCAGGTTCGAATCCAACCCCTGCCCGCCAAACAACAATGAAAACTACAACCAAAAAATAGCCGGGCATTGTGGCGGGCATCTGTACTCCCAGCTACTTGGGGGGCTAAGGCAAGAGAATTGCTTATGCCCAAAAGTTTGAGGTTGCTGTGTAATATGATGCCACAGCACTCAAACCAAGGGGCAGCTTGAGACTCTGTCTCAAAAAAAATGAAAATTTAAAAAAAAAAAGTCTTTATTATTTCAGTTGTATCATTTAGTGATAAAATAAAAATAATCCAAACACCCACATAATAGGCAGTATATGTATATACCTTGGACCTGCAGACATGACTGGACAGCTTGCTTCAGTGCAGAATTCTGTAATAGTTCCATATAACATGTTGATCTGGTTGAAGAAATCCACAGCTGCAGAGATAATAGAATTCAATTAAAATGTCTGTGTAAACCCAAAATGTGAAAGACTTCTCAATTGAAGAAAAAATAGACAAAGCATTTAAGTTCTTGGCTGAATTCTTGGGAGATTCAATAATATAATGATACTATAAATTCTAAGTCATCACCTATAAAAAGTACACTTTTAATATAGTACTAAGCTTTTATTCAGCATATAAAGCAGGAAAATAAAATACTGGAGATAATTCTAACTAACTTAATGATTACTATGACATCATTAGATATATTATAATTATAATTATATCCAAGGAAAGGAAAAATCCCATGGTTTCTTATCAATTTGGACCAGATAATAAGTACCATTTATGTTAGGAAAAAGAAAAAAGGTTGGGATAGCACCTATGGCTCAGTGTGTAGGGCACCAACCCCATATACTGAAGGTGGCGGGTTCAAACCTGGCCCTGGCCAAACTGCAAGAAAAAAATAGCCGGGCATTGTGGC